CCGACGGTACAGGCAGATGAGGATCTGTACGTCATGAGTTTCGATGGATCCGCTCGCTTACGACGCGGAGGCGGGGCGTACAGTGCAATACTGTGGAGACTACCTGGATGGGAAGTTGTACGGGCCAGATCCACTTAAGCGGAAGGTCTCACCGTCAACGAAGCGGAGTATAACGGGCTACTGCTGGGTTTGGATCTACTAAAGGGACAAGATCCGAAAAGGCTGGTGATTTGTGGGGATTCAAATTTGGTGATCAGACAGGTGCGAGGTGAGATTGACTGCAGGCCCCGGCCCTAACACTGTTACGGCGAAAGTGAATATTCCACTTGCGCGTTGAGATGAAATCCGGGAGTGGGTGGCCTTTTCAAGGAGAATTGAGAATTCCCCCGCGCAATTTAGCTGGCCCAGCACCGCTTTACGGATTCAATGTGGTGTTGAAGTGGGGAGAGAGGCCGAGCATCAGGATCTCGTTACGTTGAACCGACTAGACGAAGTGGTGGTAGTGGGGTCCGGGAAAAGAGCAGTCCAGGTGATGGCCGTCACTAGGTCCAGAGGAAGGATTGGATCCAGCCCCCAGATCCTCGAGGAAACATTTGTGAAGAGAGTCCGCATTGAGCGGATCCTTAAAGCACAGAACGAGGAAGCGTGGATCCTAGGACTAAAGAAGTATCTGATGGGGGATGTACGAAACCTGAGTCGGGAGGATACCAAATCCTACAGTATTATCGCTACGGAGCTCGCTCACTCCACGAGCACAGTGGCTAGAATGGGTCGGTCGCTGACAGCAGTACAGGGCTCGTCGACGAAGACATGGCTGCTCATGCTGTGAAAAAATAACTTGCTCTTCAAAGCGGCTTTATAGGGACGTGTATGATGTAGATCTTCAAGCGCCTTTCGGTTTGTCTAGAACACGTAGATCTGGTCTTCCTGGAAGCCAATGCTCTTCAGCATAACACCAACAGCCTCATCAAAAGCTGGCGGGCCGCAGTGGAAAGCTGCCACCTCGGGTGAAGCCTTTGGTAGCAACTCAGCGAGTATCGTTTTGTCCAATCGTTTGCCGGTTTTGAACGATCCTAATTCTCTGATATCATCCTCGCTGGCCTCGTGCAGCACATGAAACACCTTGACGCGGTCTGGGAACATGTTGGCGAGCGGCTCCAGCTGCGTGCGTGCGATAATATGCTTCAACGAGTGATTACAGTCCACCAGCGTGACCTTGGTCGTATCCTTATTATTCTCCATAATAGCACGGACAAGCTGCAGCATAGGAGTGATGCCTGTGCCTGCAGCAACCATCACAACGTGACGGACATTCGTCATCTTCAGCTGACCACCCACTGTCACCACTCCTCGCGTCCGGATATCCCACTACCCCTTGGGGTCCCAGCATCTCCACG